TCCAACGGCGTTCCTCGTCGCGGCGAGCCCGTTCCGTCCGACACTTTGATCTCTCGGTACACCCGATTTTCCGCCACGATGAATTAATACAGATGAAATCGAGCCGTTTCCCCCCTCCCCCCTTTTCCGCCGCGCGCGAAAAAAATCGATTTTCCTGGCCCAATCGCTCTCCCATCCCTCGTCCAATTCTTTTATCGCGGATCGACGCCGATATCGTTCGTACAAATTTTTTTTTCTACCTCCCTTTCTCTCCTTTTTTCCTCCCTTTTTTCTTTTCTCTTTATTTTCATAAAATTCCATCGAGGCGCGTATCGCGTACCAACGATTTTCGCTCGATGCATTCTCGATACATCGACTCTCATTCCCAACGTCGATCGTCATTTAGCTACGCGATCGTGCAAACGAATTCGTCTTCTTTCCGTATTATACGATTCCAGATCGAAGTGAATTTCGAGTCGTAACTCGAGACTTTTTCGTTCCCTTTTTCGCTCGATCTTCTTGTCTCTTCGGAACGAAAGGGATCGAGAGATATTAAGGGAGAGAATTATCCGTACATTTCTCCAAACAGAAAATTCATAGTAGTTTCGGATTCGATAGGAATTCGTCGAAGGGCAGTGAACGAGACGACTGCCATTAATCGAGCGAACGAGCTCACTTTCTGTCGCAGCTGTACTAAACTCACGATGGAATGGTTTTTCTAGCGCGGGCAGTTTTTCTATTAAGCTTCATTTGTTTCTTTCATTGCGTAATGCGCCGGACGCGTCGCTCATTTCATCCTACTGGCGAGCGCGCACTCCTACCGTTAGAATTCTCGATTCGGATCGCGCTGTTTCGATAACACCAGTAACGTACCGGTGACGTACACGTTTCTTCCTCTCCTCGAACAAGCCCTCCTCGTCCATCTATTCTCCCGCCCATTAACCCCTTGCACGAANCAGAAACCACCTAAGAACGAGTCACCCTTTTCCGTATTCGTTCGTTCGACCCTTGTTCGTTGCCTCGCCACCAGGCGTCACTTCGTCACGGGGTGGTTTCCCCTCTCTCTCTCTTTCCCCCTCCCCTCGAGGGGATGGATCGGCTTAGGGAAAAAAAATATTCTCGTATCTCGACTACGGTATCTACGAGAAACGATTTCGAGAGCAGAGCGAGACGAGATATCGTGCCATCCTCTTTCGACGAGGAAGGTGCGGAGGAATCGTAAGACGCGAACCCCGTGCCGCGAAATTCTATGCGCGCTCAGCGGGAAGGCAGGAAGGTACGATCTCTGGCAAAGTGTACGGGATAGGATGTTGAGTATCGGTGAAAACGCGAGGGATTCGTGGGATCGCGAGGTGGTGTATTTCGTGTTGAGGCCCTCGTTTTGGCCGGGAAGGCGGACAATCGAAAGAAAGAAAGAAAGAAAGAAAGAAAGAAAGAAAGAAAGAAGGGAAGGATCAGGGCCGGAAGACAAATGTCTTCCTACGCGGAGTCGGCCGCC